CTATAGATTTATATGCTTTCCCCCATGTCATTCCCTACTTTGATCCATTCTCTCTTAATGACCAAACCACTCTCAACACCCCCCTCTTCTGCCTCTGACTAATACTTTTTATGAACTCCACCCCTTCTCCTAATTTCCCACACTCCGAAATTTCCTGACATAATTATTTACCACCACACATTGCCCTTAAACAGGACATCTCCACTGCCGATCCAACCGCACCGTCGCTGTCTGCATTTACTCACACAAGCGTCACCAACACCATAAAAGAGTGTTGGTAAAATTAAACTTCATACATCCCTTCTTTGGCCTCCCTAGATAACGTTTTTTGACTCCGACATATACCTCACCGCACCACTCACCTTTTTTTTTCCCTCATCAATTCTATGATTATCCTCATCCTTCATAAATCCATCCGCCGACACGTCAACTCCCAGTACTGGAAAACCTTCGACTTCTCATACTCCTCCTCCCCAATTTGATCTCCAATTTTTCTTTATCAAAATCATTGACACCCTCATCACCTTTACTCTTTTCTATGTTCACTTTCAACTTTCTACCTTTACACACATTCCCAACCTCATCCACTAACCTTTGCAATTTTTCTTTAAATCTCCCATAAGCACAGTACATAAGCAAAAGTAACTGTGTCAATTCCCATTTTGAAATTGATTCCCCATAATTTAATCCCATGTGTGAGTGAGGTGAAAGTGTTGAATGATGATGAAAGTATTTTCTTTTTGGGGATTTTTTCTTTCTTTTTGGGTCACCCTGCCTCGGTGGGAGACGGCCGACTTGTTGAAAAAAAAAATACGTATATGTATACATATACATGTATATATATATATATATATATATATATATATATATATATATATATATATATATATATATATATATATATATATATATATTATATATATATATATAATATATATATATATATAATTAATATACATACACACAGCCTCTCCTCACTTAGTGACATTCTCCTTTACCAACTCCTCAGAATTACAATGGGCTCTCTGCCCATTATTTATATCTAAATAATGTATATTAGAGCTGATTTCCCCTATTCTGTTTATTTCAATATAAAGTAGGTAGGGGTAGATAGATAGGTAGGCGGGGTAGGGGTCGGCCTAGGAAAGGTTGGAGGGAGGGGATGAAGGAGGTTTTGTGTGCGAGGGGCTTGGACTTCCAGGAGGCGTGCGTGAGCGTGTTTGATAGGAGTGAATGGAGACGAATGGTTTTTAATACTTGACGTGCTGTTGGAGTGTGAGCAAAGTAACATTTATGAAGGGATTCAGGGAAACCGGCAGGCCGGACTTGAGTCCTGGAGATGGGAAGTACAGTGCCTGCACTCTGAAGGAGGGGTGTTAATGTTGCAGTTTAAAAACTGTAGTGTAAAGCACCCTTCTGGCAAGACAGTGATGGAGTGAATGATGGTGAAAGTTTTTCTTTTTCGGGCCACCCTGCCTTGGTGGGAATCAGCCAGTGTGATAATAAATAAAAATAAATACTGTATAAACATTTAAAAATATACCAGAAATGTTATAAATGGTGCAAAGGTGACACTAAAACAATATCATAGATAGTTGACACAAACTCACTACCATTATAGTATGCTCCTCACTTAGTGAAGAATTCGTTTAACAACGTGGTCTCAGGAACGGAACTCCATAGTTAAATGAGGAAAGGCTGTATACTGTACATATAAAGAAATTTAAAAAAAAAAAATTGGCATGGGTGCAGATAATATGCTATAAAGAAGCAATAAATATATTAAGAAGTGGTTGGCATGTTTAGTGGATGTACTCATTTTCACATTAAAATACCATCATAAGCATTTATGAATACCATGTTGATTTAAAAATATAGGGAGGGAAATGTTAGGAAATTCAAATTAAATTTATAAATAATAAAACAAAACCTTGATTTTACATTTTTGTAATGGAATTACAAAGTGGCTAACCAGATCAAACCATATAAATATTCTGAACTCGCAACAATGATAATAACATGGAGAAAACTCATTTCTGTAGCATACATACGGCATGTATGTACAGTAGTCCCCCCATATCTGTGGGGATATGTTCCAAGACCTACTGTGGATACCGAAACCTCATATAGTAATGAACCCTATATATAAGTAGTTTTTTGTTTACATGCATACCAATGATAAAGTTTAATAGATAAGTTATGCACAATAAGTTGAGAATTAGCAATTTTTCACATATGGGAAGCATTTTGTGGCTTCTCTTAGGCTTTCAAGAACTTCTACCATAACTGCTTTTGTGCTCTGGGGCCATTATTAAGCAAAACTAAGGGTTATTTTTGGGCCGTGGATAAGTGAAACAGCAGAAACTGAATCCATTGCTACAGGGGTTCTACTGTATATACACACATACAAACAATCCATATCTACCATGAAAACTTTTTAACAGATGCTCAACACTTATTAACTGTATATTTTATTAATAAAAAAATAAACTTTTATCATATAACACTAACAATTAAAAATATCAGTTTTTCTATCTTTTAAAGTAAGACAAATAACTACCTCTATGTAAACAACTCTTCAAAAAATTTAAAAGTTAAAATTTTACTTGCTGTTTATTTTGGATGATGATACTTAGTACAGTACTACAGTAAACCCTTTAACAAACTTCAATTTAACAGACTGGAAATACGGGACCAAATCTGCTGGTTCAAATGATTCAAAAACAACGAAGTCTGTTAATTACAGAATTGTCACAGCACAACACTCTCATTTTTATCCCCTACAATTGCCATGGTTAACCATCCCCTTCTCCCCTCCGTTAGTTCATTAAATCGAGGGTTTACTGTCCTTATCATTTTAGTACAGTATCTATTTTTATTAGCTAAAAAGCCTTACAGTTCTGAGGCCCAGTTTTCTGTCTTTTATTTGAGTCCTTATTTAACTGTATTGCATCATTCTCATTCTATTAATAAATTTTATCAATGCCTCATACTGAGCGCTGAGAGTTCAAGCTCACATTTTCCCCACAACATTTATATATACTGTGCCGAGCCCTACATAAAAAAAAAAATTCCCCTTTAAAATAATTTAATTAGCTCAAGTAATTAAATATATTATACAGTGGACCCTCGACCAACGATGGTATCGTCTAACGTTAAATTCGACTAGCGATACATTTTAACGCAAAAATTTTGCCTCGACTAGCGCTAAAATACTCGACCAACATGATTCGTTCCGTTCAAGACGCGTCCACTTGTGGCCAGTGTTTACAAGCCAGCCAGCCACCGCGGTCCCATCCAAACATACAATCGGAACATTTCATATTATCACAGCGTTTTTAGTGATTGCACCTGCAAAATAAGTCACCATGGGCCCCAAGAAAGCTTCTAGTGCCAACCCTACAGCAAAAAGGGTGAGAATTACTATGGATATGAAGAAAGAGATCATTGCTAAGTATGAAAGTGGAGTGCGTGTCTCCGAGCTGGCCAGGTTGTACACAAAACCCCAATCAACCATTGCTACTATTGTGGCCAAGAAAACGACAATCAAGGAAGCTGTTCTTGCCAAAGGTGCAACTTTGTTTTCGAAACTGAGATCGCAAGTGATAGAAGATGTTGAGAGACTGTTATTGGTGTGGATAAACGAAAAACAAATAGCAGGAGATAGCATCTCTCAAGCGATCATATGTGAAAAGGCTAGGAAGTTGCATGACGATTTAATTAGGAAAATGCCTGCAACTAGTGGTGATGTGAGTGAATTTAAGGCCAGCAAAGGTTGGTTTGAGAGATTTAAGAATTGTAGTGGCATACATAGTGTGTTAAGGCATGGTGAGGCTGCCAGTTCGGACCAAAAAGCAGCTGAAAAATATGTGCAGGAATTCAAGGAGTACAGAGACAGTGAAGAATTGAAAACTGAACAAGTGTTTAATTGTGACACTGACAATGTTGTTTAACACTTTAGGAATGTCATAAAGGAACGGGAGGTACAGGTCTCTATGGACCGATATGTTGTGCGACAGAGGTCCAGTGACTCTCAAGCTGGTCCTAGTGGTATTAAAAGAAGAAGGGAAGTAACCCCGGAAAAGGCCTTGACACCTCAAGTTCTAATGGAAGGGGATTCCCTTTCTAAACACTAACACCATCCACACTCTCCCCTCCTCCCATCCCATCAATCATCACCAGATCTTCAATAAAGGTAAGTGTCATGTAATTGTACATGTCTTCTTCAGTTTGTATGTATTAAAATTAATATTTCATGTGGGAAATTTTTTTTTTTCAATACTTTTGGGTGTCTTGCACGGATTAATTTGATTTCCATTATTTCTTATGGGGAAAATTAACTCGACTAACGATAATTTCGATTAACGATGAGCTCTTAGGAACAGATTAATATCGTTGGTCGAGGGTCCACTGTACAAGTGATCTGTGTACCTGAAAATAAATTATTTTTTTTTGTATTTAACCCTTTCAGGGTCGGCAGGGCCTCTCCTAAATTTGTTCTCAGGGTCAGAAATTTTTCGGAAAATAAAAATAATTACTTTTTCTTATGAAATGATAGAGAATCTTTTCCCGATCATGACACCAAAAGTATGAAAGTTGATGGAAAACTTACGAAGTTATGCTCTCGCGAAGTTAGCGGTCACGACGATGTTTACGTATCGGCGATTTTGCTCACACTGAAACCTATTTTCGGCCAATTCTGATGTACCAGTCGACAAAACTCATACCTATTTTGCTAGAACTCCATTTTTTCTATTGATTGAGTAGAAGAAACCACCCATTTACCGATTTCCACTATCCAATAACATAGTCAGAAATTGGGAATTTTGCCAATTTCACACACATTTCAAAAGATGCCAATTTCCAAATAGGGTCCAGAATAAACAAGACAGACATTTCTGGCACTAAAATAACATTTCCTCTGTTCATTACTCATGTCCCCAGGCTTCTGTTTCATTTCTTTTGCTTTCCACTTTGAATTTTTTTTCTCACAAAAAATAGAAGATTTATGTTATGCAGACTACTGCATTCGTGTAGAAATGGCGTAGAAATGGTATAAATAATATCAGGGCACTTGTGAAAGAATATTACACTCACCAGTTGACTTGTATTGGACGCGTGGCATGATTTGTTTACCTTTGAACTTTGGCAAAAATCGAACATTTCCGCTACTTTGAGCTCAATTTCAAGGTACTTTTCATTGTGAAAAAAATCAAAATCATCTCAATTTCCATAATATGTCTTCCATTCTATAAAATGAGACCAGGAAAACTAGAATACCACCATAAATAGCATACAAAAATACACTGCAAAGTCGCTGTTTTAAACCAAAAACATGGAGTTTTTTTTTCTCATTATGTACTGTGTGCTGCAGGATTTTCTTTATACCAAGCACACTGACCACATAGATCAATTCTTTCATATGTAGGCCTACCAGCTTTCTCTCGCTAGATTTGAAGGTGCTAGAATTTATGCGTACTAGTACTGCACCAACCCTGGTGTGCAAGCCGTACTAGTACGGTACCAACCCTGAAAGGGTTAAGAAAAGTGCAGGAGATAGTGCCATTTGGTGCATGAGAGCTTACTGCTGCACACATTTTTTCTCCAGGACATGTAGCCTTCTGTTTAGCTACACATCACAGCAAGTGCTCAAATTAGATAAAACTGTGTTTTTCTTTTACAATGATTTACTGTATCCAAAAATTGGAGTGAGAGTAACAGCTAGTCATGAGCTAGTGGCATTTGGCACTCTGGATCTTGTTGCCACATTCTCACAGTCCTCCAGGCATTAGGTGTGGCTGAAATAAGTTTTGTCTTTCTTATTGCAAGAAAAATATAGGCAGGTAGCAGATAGCAGTGTTTGACATATCGGAGCCTGCTGCCTTATATACTCTTTCTTACCCAGCCATTTTATTTTGCTTGATATAAGTGAAGTAACTAATGGTTCCTGCTGTTGCATGAACAGGCATTTGCCACCACTGTTGCAGACATCTTCCCACCAAGCAAAAATATATAGTATTCTGTTTTGCTGGAAATAACAATATACACCACTCTTATCACACTGACTGTAATAAATGCTGGAGTGGCACAGGCAACTTTCAAATGCTGTTAACAAAGAAGCTGGTAGAAACACAAGGTTTAGGGACAAAGAAAAAACTGCGAACAAAATGCCATTGTTTGCAAGAAGATACACCATATTACTTTTATCTTGGCAAATGAATAATGCAGTTCTGACAATAACTTTGTTATGACTTACTGAAATATGTTTTAATTTTGTTGTAAATGGTTTTGCAAACCGACAAGTTGAAGAATTGAGGCACTTATGCAACATACGGGAATCTTTATTGAAGAAACGTTTTGCTACACAGTGGCTTCATCAGTCCAATACAAAGCAGGAAGGTATAAGGAGAGGAGGAGTTTGAGGCAATCAGTCCCTCAGCCTGGAACTGATGTGTTCAGTCCATCACTCTTGTAGGAAGTACAGCGTAGGGCCAGAGAAGTGGCTTATATACTGCAGTCAGGCGAGTCGAAGCACGAGGAGGTGGGATCACAGTGGGACCATCCACTAGTGTAAGTAGGCCTTCGTTCAAAGGTTGGACAAGTGTTGAAGAATTCTTTGTATCAAGATCATGGGATCTTGATACAAAGTGCTGTACTTCCTACAAGAGTGATGGACTGAACACATCAGTTCCAGGCTGAGGGACTGATTACCTCGAACTCCTCCTCTCCTTATACCTTCCTGTTTTAATTTTATTTGAGAGAGTATTTTATTTATAATTCTTTATGAGATAAACTTATCTAATTTAATAATTATTTTTTCATAAACCATCATAATAATTATTTCTATTATTCTGGTCTAATTTCTACTAATAAAAGCCGTCACCATATAAGCAAAATATTAATGCATTTGGTTAAATAGCATAACATTCTGTGAACCAGCTTTATAAAAAAAAAGTTGAATTTAAGTGGGGATACTGTACATGATTTTTACTATTTCATATCTGTTGAGGTATCATCAAGGTAACATTTACAAAGGGATTCAAGGAAAAAGGTTAGGAGAACTTGAGTCTAGCTAAGTGGATCATCAGGATGCTGATGTCTGCACACTTCTGCTGGGAAATAGCCGGTGTGATAGGAAAAAAAAAATACGAGCTTACTATATGTGTATAAAATGAACATATGGTTTTTCTTGCTTTTTAACAAATGCATTAATAATTATTAATGAATTAAAAAAAAAGTTATACATAACTGGCAGTGAAGTTGTATAGCTTTCTACACAAAAAATTTCTCTATAATGCCGTTATGCAATAATCGGTGAGCTGGACTTGAGTCCTGGAGGTGAGAAGGGCGAGAAGTACAGTGCCTGCACTCTACAGAAGGGGTTTGGGATATTTCCTATTTAGAATGACATCTAAACTGTTGTATCTGCATGCCTCTGACAAGACAGTGATAGTGTGGGTGGTGAAACTTTCTTTTACAGGTCACCCTGCCTCAATGGGAGATAGCCAGCATGTTATATATATAAAAAAAAAAAAGTCATAGTACAAAATGTTTATGTGATGTCTTAATGTAGCAGTAAGTTGTGAAGTGAGCCTAAAACAAAACATATCATATTCATTAGAGAAATTTTGTTCTTTTTATCACACACATAGGAATGATATCCAATTAACAGCATGGTATAAAACAAGTATGTTGCAAGTGATTGCTATGCTAATATGTACGTATGAGGAGTTTCTGGTTCCAGATATACACTTGGAAGAAGGATTGAAAAAGTGTTCGCAAGTACAGTGGAACCCAGGATTTTGTACTTAATACATTCTAGAAGGTCATTCTAAATCCGATAAGTGCGAAAACCGAAGTAATATATCCCATAAGAAATAATGTAAATATGATTAATCCGTTCCAGACACCCATAGACATTCACAAAAAATTCATTTTTTAAAGAATAACTATAGTTTAACATACAGAAAACAATGATAAATAAATATAAACATTACATACCTTTATTGAAGAGTCTTGTTGGCATATTAACCCCTTCAGGGTCCAAGGCCCAAATCTAAAGTGGTGCCCCAGTGTCCAAGAATTTAAAAAAAAAAAAAATTGTTATTTTTTCTTATGAAATGGTAGAGAATCTTTTTGTGAAGGTAATAAAACAAAAAGTACGAAATTTGCTGGAAAATTGATAAAATTATGCTCTCGCGAATTTTGATGTGTCAGCGATATTTACGAATCGGCGATTTTGCCGACTTTGACTCCCATTTTAGGCCAATTACATTATTCCAGTCAACCAAGTTCTTAGCTATTTCACTAGTATTACTTCTATTCTATCGATTGAGCACAAGAAATCGCCAAGTCAACTGTTTCAACTACAAATTAAAGTGATCGGAAATTGTTAATTTGGCCAATTTAACACAAAGTTCAAAATATTCCAATTTCAAAATAGGGTCCAGAATAAACAATGTAGGTATTCATGGAACTAAACTAACATTTCCTCTGTTCATTAGTTACGTTTTGAGGCTTTACAAATAAATTCCATTTTTATTTTTTATTCACATAATGAATTTTTATTCACACCAAAAAATAGAAGATTTACTGTTATGCAATACTGTAATAATTGTATAAATATCATCACCATATTTGTGAATGCATATTAGACCCACCAGCTGGCGTGTATTAGACGTGTGAGGTCGTTTGTTTACTCTTGAATATCGGCAAAAATTTAACATTTCTGCTACTTTGAGCTCAGTTTCAAGCCATTTCCAGTGCTAAAACCAATCAAAATCATCTCTATTTCTGTAATATGTCTTCCATTCTATCAAATGAGACCAAGAAATTGCAAATAGAACTATAAAAAACATACGAAAAAACACTGCAAAGTCGCTGTTTTAATCGAAAAATCATGATTTCAGTTTTTTCTCTCATTATACACAGTGTGCTGCAGGATCTGTTTTATGTGGTGCACACATACCACATAGATGTATTCTCTCATATCTAGGCCCAAATGTACCACTCACAGTTTATCAGAGTGAGCTGAGCTCATGACGTAGATCTACGGTTTGGACCCTGAACGTAAAGCCGTAGATCTACGGGACGGACCCTCAAAGGGTTAATAACATAAGAAAGGAGGAACACTGCAGCAGGCCTATTGGCCCATACTAGGCAGGTCCTTTACAATCCATCCTGCTAACAAAAACATTTGCCCAACCCAATTTTCAATGCTACCCAAGAAATAAGGTCTGATAACTCTATCCACTAATATATGCAAGTCCCGCTCAAATCCAACCCCTTGCTCATGTATTTATCCAACCTAAATTTGAAACTACTCAAGGTTTTAGCTTCAATAACCCAACTAGGTAGACTGTTCCACTCATCAACTACCCTATTTCCAAACCAATACTTTCCTATATCCTTTCTAAATCTAAACTTGTTCAAGTTCTCTCTTGGAGAGATATCCTCAAGACCTTATTTATATACCCTTTGTTAATACCCATATACAGTATTCCCTTTGTTAATACTCAGAAGGTGAGGAGAGGAGAGGGAATTGAGGTTATTGTTTGGAAGGGGAATCCCCCTCCATAAGGACCTTAGGTAAAGCCCTCACTGGAGTTACTTCCCTTCTTTGTCTTTTACTGGCACTAGGACCAGCTTGAGTCACTGCACCCCTGTCGCACAAAAAAACTGTCCGGGGAGCTCTATTTCTTGCATCTCTTTTTAAGATTTGCCTGAAGTGGGACAAGGTTTTGTCACTGAACATGTTGCAAATATGGCTTGTTTCAGCTTGGACAGGGTGGCATTTTTCAACAAAAGTTTGCAACTCATTCCACTTTGCACACAGTCCTTAATCACTGAAGGAGGCACCTTCTCCCCTCTCTCTTCCTCCTCCTCTGAAGCAATTTCCTCAGCTGCAGTCTGTTGCTGTTCCAGTTGAAGGTCTTGCAGCTCTTCAGTGGTTACCTCTTCCCTGTGGTCCTCCACCAACTCTTCCACATCCTGGCCCTTCACATCCAACCCCATGGACTCTGTTTCGTTAGCATATTCACCCCTTTCGCAACTTTAGCTTCCTTGATTTCTACTTTCTTTGCCAGGATGGAAAAGATTGTTGGTTTCGACTTCCCATACATCCTGGAAAGCTCGGCTAAACGTATGCCACTTTTGTATTTTTCTACAATCTCTTTCTTTAATTCTATCATGTTTCCCAATTTTTTTACCAAAAGGCTGGCACTAGGAACTTTCTTTGGGCCCATGGTGGCTTATTTCACAGTCACAATTAATAAACAGGCACAAAAATTGTGAAATGTTTCGGATGAATGCTCACTTAACCAGTGACAGAGCCAGACTGAAGCAGCATCCTGGCAGGTGGACGCGTCTGATACGTGCGCTTCCCAGAACAAGGCTCGAAATTCGAAGCAAAATTTTGCATGAAAAAAAGTGCCTGAAATTCAAAAAGTCTGATATCCGGGGTTCCACTGTACATAAAAGTCCTCCTGCCCACAAATTCCTCATTTTTTCCTGCAGTTTTTATTTTTTTATCTATATCTTGAACACCTGTTACATGCATGTACTGTATTACATACAAATAGAAATCTTACAGCAAAATATAATACAGCATGTGATCACTTTGTTGACATTTATAAGCAAGATGGAAGAGTAGGTTGCATATGTCAACCCTCCTGCCCACATAATGTACTATAGTATATGTACTGCAATTTCCTACCAACTGTCCCTAGTTCTGGTTACACTTCATATAGCAGAAACTGTTAGCTAAAATGAACCCATAAAAAATTATTTATACATTAGACTAAGAGAAATAAAATTAGATTTCCCTTCAGTTTTTTCCATGCCAAAACCCATGCAAGAGCGTCAAAACTTAACATTTTGAATACTGCTAACTTGTACGTTTACACTCATGATGGTCCTCAAGATAGAAAAGCTAAATAATAATAATTATTGGAAATGCATTATTCACCTACCAAAATAATTGATGAAACATATATTCCTCTACCACAGGAAAACACATTTTGGATGCCAGAGAATACAGTACAGGTGTCCCAAGTTTTATGCAACAGCTGTACTAAGCTTGATTAGGTTATCCATAAGCACTTAATTTCACATAATAAAAATATTCAATGCACTTTTTGAAATGCAGCGATTGCATACAATGTATAGTGCATTAAGAAATTACCAACAGAAATAGGACGTTGGATAATGATCATAAATAACCTGGACCTAGAAGAAGAAACTCATGACAATGTTTCAGTCTGTCCTGAACTATAAGTTTCTTCTAAATGTAAACTATTTGTGATTTGTTCCGGCCATGATATTGACTTTTTTTCCATAACACACCAGCCATCTCCCACCAAGATAGGGTGACCCGAAAAAGAAGACACAAAAGCTTTTCTTCTTTTTACATTTAGCAGTTTATACAGGAGAAGGGTTTACTAGCCCCTTGCAGCTTAGTCGCCTCTTATGACACACATGGCTTACAGACGAAGGATTCTTCCCCATGGAATGACTTTTTATTCTTCACTGCATAATAGTGAAGTCACAAAGCAAACCCACACATAGCAAGGAAAAAACCTGTATGTGGACTGCATAACTGAATTATCAATCCTGTCTGCACATAACTACTGAGTGAGTTGTACAACCTTAAAAAGAAGCAACGTTTCAAGGACAAAACAGAGGAACATGAGCATGCCAACATAGCCACACTACATTTCTGGAAGTTTTGTGTGTGCAGTGATGCAACATGTCATATGTACAGTAGTACAGTGACATGTTACAATATACATTAGTAGTGATGTCATATTGAACAGTAGTACAGTGGTGTGTCATAATGAACAGTGGTACAGTGACACGTCATAATGTACAGTAACATAGTGATATGTCATAATGTACAGTAACATAGTGATATGTCATAATGTACAGTAACATAGTGATATATCATAATGTACAGTAATACAGTGACCTGTCAATGCACAGTAGTACAATGTGTCATAATGAACAGTAGTACAATGTGTCATAATGAACAATAGTACAATGATGTGTCATAATGAACAGTAGTACAGTGACAAGTCATAATGTACAGTAGTACAATGAAGTGTCATAACGAACACCAGCACAATGCTAAGTCATAATACAACAGCACAGTGATGTGTCTATGTACAGTAGTACAATGATGTAAAATGAACCATAGTACAATGATGTGTCATAATGAACAGTAGCACAGTGATGTCACAATGAACAGTAGGACAATGATGTGTCATTGTATAGTAGCACAATGATGTGTTAATGTACAGTAGTATAGTGACATGTCAATGTGCAGTACACAGTGGTGTCATAATGCAGAGACATGTTGTAATGTACACTAATGTGGTGACATGAAGTAATATTACTGTAAAAGTAATGATTGGCTCTATGATTACACATTATTGAGAGTGTATAACCTGTCATAATATTAACAGTGTGAATATTATGTCCTTGTACACTCCACATGGAAGACATTGTGCAGTGTAACTCCCATTATACAGAATAGGACGGTTTTATGCAATATGAACTATCTTAATACAATAATGAAATCTTCCATTGTATAACCAACTGGGAAGTGTTTTAAATTGGAAGAAGGCTTTCACTTAATTGAAAATTACAAGTAGACGTGACACAAGACTGATCTACAAGCATAATGCAGTCATGAAGGAAACTTTGATTAATTGTGGCAAACAAGTCTGATATATTAGGTTATATAATAGGACTTTAGAATGACACAAACACTAAGTGCTTTATGAAAAAAGGTGGATATAAGGGTTCCATTATCCAACTAATAAAAATTGATGCAGGAATGTGAGAAAATACTGGGAAAAGGGAAAGTCAATTATTATTACACTCATGAGGAAATACTAATTCTGTAGGATGTCATACAGCACTCTAAGAGTGGGAGGTAATCAGATTCAGCCAAGGAATGGAAAGGTAGCACCAATTATTTGGATTAAGAGCCCTTCACTGTAATCAATGCACCCTCTTTGAAGGAGGAGAGATCAATACTATGTTAGTTATAAATGGAAGTCAATACAATATAAAATTAGAAAAATATTACTGTAACATGATATATATTTTGTCAAATTCATCTTTCAACAAATAATTCTTCATTAAATTTCATTCAGTGTTCTGTTGAGTTTGATGATTTAATGAAGAACATAATACAGAGCCCAGCTTATGAAAAAAAATATCACAGCACCAAGCAAAAAGATCAATGAGTTTGTGGTATTATTAAAGCCTGAAGTATGTGCCTCAGGTTCTGGGGTACCTGTGCATCTCTTCTGACCTGGTATATCCCTGAGATTAGTCCCACACACACTACAAACTGTGCATTCACTTGGGATTTTACACTCACTCAAATCTGTGTAATTTTGTGGACTGTTTGCTCCTACAACAGACACAGACTGAGCGCTAGAACTTGGAGATAAAGATGATGAACACTTTTGATGATGACAATGATAACAAGTATTGTGAACATTCTGATGAACATTAAAAGTTTCCTAGGACTTGGCCTTGTTTAAACTGCTCTTTGTATGCCATTTAGTAAAGCGCTGCAGAGCTCTCTCCCATTCCTTCATTTGCCCTAAAAGTTGGGGTTGAAGATCCATCTGTGGATAGAAGACTCGTTCTACTTGTCGCAGTGGAATCAACTCAGCACGGGACTTCCATATGCCTGTACAGGTAAGAATTTTGAAAAACACAATAAATATAAAAATGCAAAAAGTTGTTTTATTGATTATTAATAATATTCATCCATTTTATGTTTGCTATTTCCTAAATAAGTTTATGCTACACCTTTACCTTTAAATTTTAATACTTGACCTTTTATGCATTTTGAGATAAAGAAACTGCATGTTCATATTTCTTTTTTTACAATGGCTAATAGTTTATAGTAGCATCTACAATATAAATACAATAACCTGGCTGAATAACAAAAAAAGGCACAATACCGTGACTGGAATGATACACAAATAACCCGCACATAGAAGAGAGGAGCTTACGACGACGTTTCGGTCCGACCTGGACCATGTACAAAGTCACACTAACGAGAAGTAGTAGAGAAGGGTATAATAGGCGGGAAAGTAGTGGTGACGTGGTGGTGAGTGGTGGTAGTAGTAGTGTGTAGTAGTAGTAGAGTAAGTGTGTAGTAGTAGTAGGTAGTAGTATGTAGTAGTGTAGTAGTAGTAGTAGTGGTGTAGTGGTAGTAGTGGTAGTAGTGTAGTAGTAGTAGTAGTAGTAGTAGTAGTAGTAGTAGTAGTAGTAGTAGTAGTAGTAGTAGTAGTAGTAGTAGTAGTAGTAGTGTAGTAGTGGTAGTAGTAGTATAGTGGTGGTAGTGTAGTATGGTGGTAGTAGTGTAGTAGTAGTGTGGTAGTGTAGTAGTGTAGTAGTAGTGGTAGTGGTAGTAGTAGTAGTAGTAGTAGTAGTATAGTGGTAGTGGTAGTAGTGGTGTAGTGGTAGTATGTGGTAGTGTAGTGGTAGTGTAGTAGGTAGTGAGTAGTGGATAGTGTGGATAGTGATAGTGGTAGTGATAGTGGTAGTGATAGTGATAGTGGTAGTGAGTGATGTGGTAGTGATAGTGATAGTGGTAGTGATAGTGGTAGTGATAGTGGTAGTGGTAGTGATAGTGGTAGTGATAGTGGTAGTGATAGTGGTAGTGATAGTGGTAGTGATAGTGGTGGTAGTGGTGGTAGTGGCGGCGGCAGCGGCGGCGGCAGTGGCGGCGGCAGCGGCAGCGGCGGCAGCAGCAGTGGTAGTAGTAGTAGTGGGGAATAAGGAGGACGAGCCAGTCAAATACAAAGAAAGGGGAGCACTACAAGGGAGCAAGGTGCCCACAGAGGGAGAGCAAGTACACAGAGGTGGGGAAGAAGGGGAAGTGATGAAATAAATAATGAAGGAACAGAAACACGAGACAGAAGAAAGACAACCCAGAAGAGAAAAGGGGAAAGATGTTCCTGGTGTCTACTCCATTTCTTGCTCCTCCTGTCCACTTCAATACTTGGGAGAAACTGGTCGATCTCTTTCTGAGACTTAGGGAGCACAAAAATAGTGTTAGGCTTGCCAACACTAACAATGCTCTGTTTTGTCACATCAGAGATCACAGCCATCCTATTGATTGGTCTTCTGCAAAAACTGTCTTCCCTACTTTCAACTTTAACAGTCGCCATCTAGTTGAATCCTCTCTAATACACAACTTTCCTTGTATGAATCTTAGCCCTGGCTTCGTCTCTGTAGATGCTTTCCTCTCCCACTACGTTGTAAAATGTTCCAAACTTCAGAACACCCGTGACTTAACCTGATTCCTCCTTTTCTCTTCTCCCTCTTCCTCTTTCCCATTTTCTCCTCTGGGTTGTCTTTCTTCTGTCTCGTGTTTGTTCCTTCATTATTTATTTCATCATTTTCCCTTCTTCCCCACCTCTGTGTACTTGCTCTCCCTCTGTGGGCACCTTGCTCCCTTGCAGTGCTCCCCTTTCTTTGTATTTGACTGGCTTGTCATCCTTATTCCCCACTACTACTACTACTACAACCACTGCTACTACTACTACTACTACACTACTACCACTACTACTACTACTACTACCTCTACTACTATCTCTACTACTACCACCACCATTACCTCTCCCTGCCTATATATACCCCTTCCTGCTCTACTTCTCGTTAGTGTGACTTTGTAAATGGTCCAAGTCGGACCGAAACGTCGTCGTAAGGTCCTCTCTTCTATGTGCGGGTTATTTGTGTACCTGGCTGAAAATGATACAACACAAGGCTGACTTCTACAGGTGAATTATTCAGTAAAAAACTCTCTCCCTGATAATTTGGACTACTGAGCAAAGACCATCCCCCTGATAATAAAAAGTACTTAGCAAAGACCATCCCTCTGATAATAAAGAATACTTAGCAAAGACCATCCCTCTGATAATAAAGAATACTTAACAAAGACCATCCCTCTGATAATAAAGAATACTTAACAAAGACCATCCCTCTGATAATAAAGAATACTTAACAAAGACCATCCCTCTGATAATAAAGAATACTTAACAAAGACCATCCCTCTGATAATAAAGAATACTTAACAAAGACCATCCCTCTGATAATAAAGAATACTTAACAAAGACCATCCCCCCTGATAATATGGTATATCTGGTTACTTATTAAAAACTATCTCTCTGAGGATGCTTTCTTAATATTACAGTGTTTCAAGTTAGGATTATCACTGTCTACTTGACTTACTTTTCCCTGCAAACCGACGACATTTTCATGCACATCGTCTAATTTCACAATGTATTCCCTAACAATCATTAGAATACAGTATGTACGTCTTACAAAAACAGACACATATATACATAACAAAAGACCATGTGTCTAACTTATCACTTCATAGGTACAGGTCCGCCATTCACAAATCCGGCATCAGTGGAACCTATAGTGTGCTGGATTACTGAGTTTGCTGGATTACAGAGTGGTTAGGTTAGAATACACTTAATAAAGTTAACCAACTTGAGTTACACAAGAAAGTTCATTGAACATTGGCAAAAATCGAACATATCAGCTACTCTGAGCTCAATTTCAAGGTACTTTTTTCGTGAAACCAATCAAAATCATATCTATTTCTGTAATATATCTTCCATTCTATCAAATGAGACCAAAAAACGAGAATACAACCATAAAAACCATACGAAAATATACCGCTACGAGGCAGCTAATATTGCCCCAGTTTCAATAAGACAGCCCAATAAACAACTGTGAGAAAAAAATATTTACCAAAAATCATATATGGCAAGCCCAAGCCAGGTACTAGAAATAAGTAACTTTGTCATGACTTTTTCGGGTTATCCTAGATTCTCTACACATATGCTGCTATGTATGATAATCTATGTAAATAGCTATTTTTGTTTCAGTTTTATGGTGCAGTATGAGTGTATATCAGAGTTAGCCCTGTGTTATTCTCTGTTTTCTCTAATATAAGCCACTAAGACAGGGATAGGAGAACGGTACCTGTATCCCAGATCCTCTTCATACCTCTGTCGAACTGCTCGGTATTATGTCAAATATTATTCATTCTGGAGTATTTAACATTTTTTTTTTTTAACAAGTCAGCCGTCTCCCACCGAGGCAGGGTGACCCAAAAAGAAAAGACTTTCATCATCATTCAACATTCAATCATGTTATTTATATTGTTTATTATGTCATATTAGATCAATTGTGATAGGCAAATAAGCCGTAGCTTTGATATTAGTGTAATAATAGAGCATACTCCCCTGCATCACGAGACTGAGCTCATGGCAACCGACAGTGGCTTCAAAGCCACCTTATCTTTTATGGACAATGTACTGTGTATGTGCTTTACACAATGAGAAGCATTTCTTTTATTCGTTGGAACCACGGCTAGGGGTACAAGTAAGCAGGTTATAACAATAAATGGAGAAAAAGAAATTGGAATGACTTATGCAGCAAGTAGCGCCACCAAACAGGAAATTTGATATTATGATAGCCGAAATTAGTGCTGAATAAATGATGGAACCGGATGTCTGACTGCCGGATTTGTGATGGCAGACCTGTATGTTAATATTAAACCTGGCATTAAGTTGCAAAAAGTACAAGAATGAGTACTTAAATTGATGAATACCCATTACTGAAAATCTCTAGGTCATATTCTGTATTCAATACGTACCATTAAACATCACTCATAATGCATATCATTAACCCCCTAATAATGCCTAAAAATTTTAATGAGTGAACTAGACTTATTCTGAAAAATTCGTAGTTAAACGTAATTCCCACTACAATACAAGCTAAGTTAGGATACTGTAACAAATGTGGAAAGAAAGAGGCTTATGGAGTAAAAATACAAAATGTACCAATGTACAGTGGTACCACTACTTTTATGTGGGTGCAAGACATAGGCGTTAAATGCAGCAGTGAGGAAGCTGGAGGCAGTGGCCATGTCATGTTTGAGAGTAATATTTTTTTATATTAACACATCAGCCGATTCCCATCAAGGCAGGGTGGCCCAAAAAGAAAAACTTTCATCATCATTCACTCCATCACTGTCTTGCCAGAGCAAAGAGATTAGATGATGATGTGGGAAAATAACTGAAATTATAATTCAGAGGGCTGAGGAGGGGGTTATTAAGGTTTTTTTAGGCATTTACAGAGGCTGGAGCATATATAAATCTAGGGTGGAAGAAAGGAGGGGTAGGGGAAATCCCAGGAAGGGTTGAAAAGAGGGAATAAATGAGATTTTAAAGTTCTATGGGCCTCAACATCCAACAGGCTTATGTGAGCACACTGGATCAGAGTAGACACACATAATATCTATGGCTCAATGTGCTGTTGAGCAATGGACTGAACACCCTCTTTCCAGGCTGAGAGAGTGATCACCTCAAACACTACTACATATCTTCCAACATCTTCAGTATAATTCTCTGTACTGGACTGATAAAATCACTTATTGGCAAAAAAACCTCCACAATAAAGATACCCAAATGTTGAATGTGTTGTATTCATTTTAATATTGCACTACATAAAGATGGGTATGATACTCAAAAAAAATTATAAATAAAATTTGTAAATTGCAGGCTACAAAAGACCACTAAAAATTTTAATCTCCCTCTATGTAAGACACACTAATGTTAATTTGAAGACAATGTTAAGAGGCATTCTCACGCAAAATTT